AGATAACATTCAGTGAATCCATGTGATGATAGTCTGAATTTTCTCATTGAAAATTCCCACCTCCCTTTCTCCTGTTGGCCAAAGAGCACTTAGAGTTTGGCTCTGGGCAACCCGTGTCTAACTGGAGGCTTTTGAGTACACACACGCAGAGTCTCTGCTTAGAAATGACTGCTCCTTAGAAAATAATTTGATTTTAAAATTACTTGGGCATAAGTTTCAAAACTTGGAGGAAATATGTTACACTAATCATTTTCTTAGTAAATTATTAACCAGGTGATGAGACAGCACTGGCACTGCAAAGCGAGCCACACAGGATTAGTGTGCTCTGACGTGGGCACGTTGTCCTTGCTGTCTGACAGCAGGGAACCAGTTGCAGCAAAATTACTAAAATCACAAGTAATTTGTACACTCAATTTCAGTGTCTCTAGGCAAAAAGCCGCTACTTTGATGATCTTACCTATGTGATCGCAGAGGATAAATGCAGAAATATTGCAGGCCCCTGTGTGAGGTGGTCACTGAGAGAGGAGGTCCTGCTCACCACAACGTCTGTAGGAGATTTCTGGGGTGAGAGCACCACGAGGAGGGGGCAGGTGGAGGGGTTTTCAGGCTGCACACTAACATCACGCGTTCTCTGGTTGTGGCAGATGCTGGGATTCACCCTATTTCCTGCAGCTGTCCCTACCCAATGTTAGGTCCCTATACCTGCAGGTCACTGGCCCGTGGTCCCTTCTGGAAGCAACGGCAGGAGCAAGACTTCTCCACAGCCCTTCTGGAGCATAGTGAAGAGCATAACATGGTGTTCCCTTTTTAACTGGAGTGGGCTACATTTAGGGACCTAGAGGTCACTGTATAAATCTCCCACAGAGTCTGTCACATTTAAAAGTGCTGGTGGAGTATGACCAGCAGTGTGACATTTAGCATAATTTTAACACAGGATGCCACATATGCCTTGGGTGCTACCACACATAGCATTTCATGGGTCCTACAAGTGGACAAGCATCAAAGAAACCACATTTTGTCCTGCCCTGTCAGTCCTGTGCTACCCCACTGAACCAGAACTGACAGGGACTGCAGGCAAAGTGGACAGTTCTCATTAAATATCATTTTGTGCACCTGGAAGGCACATCTGCTGAACACCAGCAGCGTGCTGAACACCACCACAGCCCACAGCATTTGCCCTCCTAACTGCGCAACCGTCTCTAGTGAGTCCAGAAAAGAGAGTCAGAGGACAACCAGCCCCACAGCTCTCACCAGCTTTTACCTCCTGCGCTTGTGGGTCAGACATGGGAATGATTTATGCAATACGTTCAGCTCCACAGCCTTCAGAGGTGTTGCAAGGAATGAGTCGCAGGGTTCACTTTCAGAGATTCAAGTATTTATTAGTCCAGGGATCTCGCCAGTAAAACACCATTAATACTCCTTAACATCTTGTCTCTTCTCTGGGTGCCACAACTTTCCCTAAAAAACACTCCCAGAGAGAAAGAAGAGCTGTAGCTGATCGTAGAGGCAATACTGCACAGAAATCAGCTGCTTCCTTCCTCTGCTGCAGCCCTCTGTAGATCACGTTATCGATCTCCTCTTGTCAGGAGCCCTTCCTCCTGTTTATATCTGCACTCCAAACAGCCCAAGAGGCAGAGCTCTGGTCCATGGTCTTTAAAGCTTTCCAGGGGCTTGACGTTGAAAGGTTTGTATTTGTGGTGTTGAAAGTTTAGCCACACAGAGGGTTAAATCCACTGTGCATGCATTGATTTTATTGAAAATGTCTTTCTTTTACTTGACTAAATTTTATCAATAATTCTCTCAAATCCAAAAGCACGTAGCACCCTGAAAATCTACATAGTGCCATAATGATTAATAATTCCTTAGTGTAGTTTTGTCCCAAAGCATAAGTAAACCTTTCTTCTTGCAGTTAATCTGTCATGATTAAATTAATTAAAGCTGGACATGCCCCCTAATTCCTCTTACTGATCTGATCTATCTTCCTAAAAAGAGTTTTTTGTAACAGTTATTACACTATAACTGGCATTTTGTGTGTTCTTTGACTTTTTTTTTCTTTATTTGTTTTATTTTATTTGGACTCCATGAGTTTTGCCATTTTGGCCTTGGTGCGCTCACTGCGGTGACTCATGTATTCCACAGCTACTGCCAGATCTCTGGGGCCGATGTTGTAATTATCGCATTAGGATCTGTCATTGTAGCCCTGACTTAATAACTAGCCAGAGCAGTGATTAGAATCACTGATTGATCTGTTCCACGGTTTTGGACGCTCACATCTGAGATGAACAGAGGGATTGTGGCTATTAAGGGTTTGAAATGTCAGCATTCCAGATTAAATTAGTATTAATTAGTCATTCCAAGTACACTAGCTGTTATGTATAGCAAGCATTTCTGCATTTGATAATCTGGTGATGATCAGCTAAAACCGTGATTCAGATTCATCTCATAAGATGCAGAAGAAAGCCCTGGCCTTTCCTCTGTGCCCACAACTTGCTGAAGCCATGCAGATCACAGCAGATGACCAGGGTCACTTCCAGGTGAAACACATGATGCCCTTCAGGAATGCAACTCGGGCATTGCAGTCCCAGGGGAGCATTTGGTCCACGGGACCGGGCTAGACCTGGTCCAAAGCAACAAAAGCCCTGAAACATACAGAGTGTGGACCCTCAGCACCAGCTCTCTCACTCCACATCCAGAGGCTGGACAGTAACACACCCCGACAGTGTCTGAGCAAACCGAAGCAACAGCTTCACGGAGGGGATGCTGTTGCTGGTGCTTCTTCACCCCATAGCTTCCTCCATGCTGTCCCTGAAAACTCAGAGCAAAGCAGGAGCCTGCAGGGTGGACCAAGAGGGCCAGTGAGAGGTTGACTGGGATGTGCAAGGTGGAGGTAGCTCTTTAAATTGTTTTGATCCAAAGGCAGTGTTGAGCTATTCAGAGGGACCAGCAGCAGCCCCAGAAGACAGACTTGCAGAGATGTCTGTTCCCTGTGGCCATGGGAAATATATGGTGATAGAGCATGCTGTGCATGACCACCACATGGCTCTTTGTGGCAGCTCCTGGGAATGGGCTTACCACATTGGGTTTTTCCTTTAAAAAATCATATATTTTAGAAGGAAATCTTGTTATCCTGGGAAGGAGTGGGAGGAGATGAGTGAGGACATGAAAACTTACTAGGTAACTCCAAATTTTTATGATACCATCTATGCATCCAGTGATGCTGTGAACATGGATGGCTTTTACCCCTAAAGGGTATATGATCAACATGGACATTTTATATTTCTTCAAAACCTGTTTGGTTTAGGTTTGTTGGGTCTATAGCTTGACAGATATAGAACAGACTAAGGAAACATGCTAGTTGTGTTCAGCTATATTTTCAGTTCTTAAAAATAACCTTAAAAATTCTTTTAATTTGTGTGATTTTGTTTCTGTTTTTGAATGGGGAAAAGGTTCTGAGAGTTTAAAAGTTCTGAAAACTGCTATCGGAGTGAGTATCATTCTCTAGACTGCTCTGGGTCAGCCTGCTGACGACTCAAAACCATTCATTCAAAATCCAGTGACAGGGATCTTGTCTGTACTCTATTCAAAACATTGTTTTCTGTTCTTGCCAATGGTTTATTCTAGATAATGCATTCCCGTCCAGGGAGATCTGAATACCCCACAAGCGCAGAGTCATCCTGCAATGAGATATTTTACCCCTAAGTGCTAAAAGTCATCCCCTCAGGAGAGGCAATTTTGGCTAAACGTTCAGCAAACTCACTCCTTTCCAGAGTGTTTGGTGCATGAAAGCTGCACAGCCCAAGATGGGGAACCCAGTTCTCAGCTTCTTAGTGTTGCATTTTGTTGCCTTCATCATCAGGGAAGATGAGTTGCCAGGCTGGAGATTTGGCTTTTCTGAGCCATCTGCAGGGAAAATGTAATGACTGTACCTCTACCTTGAACTCTGCAATGTGCCCACAAAAACCAGCATAGTCATGAGGAAAATAACACAACTATGCCCAGCAGTAACTGAGGATTAGGGCACACCATGCCAGCTACCTGCTTTCTATCCCTGAATGTACCATTTCACTTCTTTTCCTCTCTGAAATTGGGGTAACGGTACTCATCTACACTTCTAAAGTGTTTTCAGGCTTAGGGCCAAATAGCTTTTTTAAGAATGATTTATTTTTATCTCTGTCACCACAACCACATTTGCGCCTGAGGGATACCATGCACTCATAGCCTCGGGCTGCGGGTAATTCGTGCTTTGTGATCCTAGGTTGCCAAGTAGCCTGTGTTCAGAGATGTAAGGAATCCTTGCTGTACTTGTCATGTAGCAATCTTGCCCAGCATTCAAAATATTTTCTCAACTTAAAAAAATTCTTAGGGATTTCCCACTGAAACTCAAAGGCAGTCATATATTTTATTTATTTTATTACAAGGCATGTAAGTAAAAACTTGCATATCTGAAAAAAGATATTAGATAGAAAACAGTAATAAAATTAACATTATTCTTTTAAGAAACTTGGTAATAAATACATTTCCCCTCAACATTAAAATGCTTGTTATTTTGCACAACAATAAATACAGCATAGCTCTGGCATAGAGAAAGACCAAGGCTGGATATAAGTCCATGTGGTTTCTTAAAAAAGCTTAGGTGATTTATAAAGGTTTGGCATCCTGCACTTGATGCATTTTGATACAACTTGCACTTTAATTTTAATTTTACTATGATTTTTAAACAGTCCCATAATATGAAAATATGAGAGGAAAATTTGTTTGATTATAGGATTTTTCTTTTAAATGTTTTCAAAGTGAGAGATGTGTAAACTCATTAAAACCAATCCTTGGAAAAAAAAAAAAAGTGTCTTGGTGGCTATTCTACAAAAATGCAGATTTTTCAGCTGTGGGTGCTCAAGCCTGACCAGCCAACTGGCAAAGGACCAATCCCCAGTCAGTTCATCAATTCTTTACACAGTTTTAAAACAGAAATAACAATAACAAGGAGAAAGAGTAAAGATGACCCCAGTCATGATGGTTTGAGGTTACACTACTATCCAAAGGTGAGAGGAGAAACAACAGGTATACTCCAGAACACTTCCCAGCATAACTTTGGGTCATTCTGGTCTATACTTTTCTTTTAAAACTACCAACAAAAAAAGAAAGAGAGATATTTCCATGCACTGTGCTGTTCTTATGCCAGCACGTATCATTACAATCACAACTGTGAACCTAAGTCACTTTGATAGCCCAATCTAATATAGATTGATTGATTGTCCCATGACATAGTTAGATAATGTCCACAAAATGCCACAAGCTCTGGCAGAGTCCAGCGTTCTTAAAGTACCGATAGGTCATGGCAAGACTTTGACTTGAGTTTGAAGGCCATATTCTTGTTGTTCTTGGCAACTATTTTGCCCCAAAACCGCCTGGCTTTCTTGGGGATGCTCTCTCTCCGTTTCTGGTACGCCAGTCGCTTCTCATTCTTTTCCTTGCTGTCCCTGCGGAGCCGGACTTGCCGTACGATGCCTTCAAACAGCTCTTTCACGTTGTGCTGCACGGCTGCTGAGGTCTCGATGAACTTGCAGTCAAATACGACAGCACAGGCTCGTCCCTCTGCAAAATTGCAAGGTTGATATGTCACGAGGCGTCATGAGCAGGGGGGAGGCAAAGCAGCCACAAACTGCCACGTGCGGGGAGCCAACGCCACCGGGGGAATTCCTCAAGCCTAATATAGGCACAGATAAGTCTTTAATCACCTGATGCTGCCTGCTAGCCCATGCTCTGTGTCACAATCCCTGCCCAGCAAGGGGGGATGAATCCTTTCCGGGAAAAGCCCAGTCCCCGTTGTTGGCTATGGAGGGAGCTGGGGCTGACTGACTCATGCTGAGACACTGAAGGCTGAGAGGTCAGCCATGACTCAAAAACACCTGGTCATCTTACGTGCAGACTCCCTCAAGTCACATTAAAGGGTGGTGACAGCACCCTCCATGCGCACAGCACAGCTTTCATCCCCATAGGAGGCAGAGCCCAGCCTCCTCCATGGGTCATGGGTGTAAACCAGGCCCTTGGAACAGCAGCAACTTTGGTGTGAACAGACACATGCACAAAACCCTTAAATAAAGCCAGAACTATGCTTATGGCTTTAGACGTACATCTGAAATCATAGTTCTTATCCGTAATTACATGAACCTAAGCTAAACTTGACAGCTGTCTTTCACACAGAAGCCAATTTATTCTGTCTTCTGGCTTGCCGTGAACTCGGCACCAGGATGACTAAAATGACATGAATGCACCTGCCATCTTTCAAAAGATTTTTCAAGTGGGGCAAAGAGGAATAAAAAGGCAAATAGGCATTCCTGGGCTCCTGATGTACTCAGTTCAAACTCTTCGCTTGGGGCAACTCTGACAGGGGCCAGAGGAACTGTGCACATTCCCAGTGGGGAAAAAAAAGAAAAGTCTAGATCAATTGGGAGATAGAAGAGCAGAACAGCTGCAGAGAGAAGAAAATGCCAAGCAGAGGAACCTATGTTTCTGACGGGCCAAGACGAGATCACCTAATGCATTGCTGTGTGCTATGTTCTGTCACCTAAGCCTTAAGGAAGACTCTCCAAGAAGATATTTTACTGACTGCAAACCTTGAGAGCCAGCAGCAGCTTTCCCAGCAGTCTTTCTATTCCTATTTATGGGCTTAGGGCTCCCCGGGCTTTGGGAGAGTGGTACAGGTTGGTTATTCTTTTGCCTGCAGCAGAGGGAGGGCTGGTTTAGCATCCCAAAGCAAGGCCGTAGGAGACCTCGCCTGAAAGGCTGCACAGTCCCTGCCCAGACTAGCAAAACGAAGGGTGAGAGGGAATTTTAATTCATCAGGGAACTGGTTAAATGAAGAGATAATCTTTGGCAGCAGAATAAAGGGGGCTAAAGTCGTTATGCATAAACATGTATTGGAAATCCAAAGGGTTTCCAGCTACCAGAGGAATCACATACTTCAGTGGTCTTACACTAGGAGCTGGAAGGGAATAAATTCAAGCTGCTTTTATGACGGTACTTAATAAATTTACAAAAGGGATTATCTGACATGTAACAGCATTACTAACGGAGGCTTAAGGATCTGGCAGACCCCTCCCAGTCCTCTGCCCTCTGTTCCAGTCCTCTGCTGTTTTATTGCTCTTTTATTGCCCAGTCCTGATCACAGTGTACTCCCTCAGCCAGAGCTCTGCATTTCCTTCAAAGGCTACTAGATGACTCTTAACGTTTATGTCATTTTTATCCGCATCATTTTCCTTACCTGCCACTGAAACTTCACGGCACCTGACAAGGTCACTTTTGTTGCCAACCAAAATAATGGGGATGTCTTCTTTCTGGCGTGCCCTGCGGAGCTCTATTCTGAGTTCAGAGGCCTTCTCAAAGCTCGCCCGGTCTGTGATAGAGTAGACAATCAAGTATGCATCTCCCACTTGCATGCAGTGGTCTCGAATCCATTCTCCCTCACGCTGTTCAAATGAAACAGTCAGACATCATTATGGCCGGAACAGATTTTACTTAGAAAGTATAACATTAGAGAATCCAAATACATCCCTGCTGTAACTGTAATAGGTATGGTTTGAATCACAGTTATACTAAAAGTAATTCCTATGCAGTGATGGTATGAATACTTCACCACAAGGGAGGGCAAAACTTGCCCCAAATAATTCATTGTGCTGGCTTTAGACTGGAATGAACATGGTCTGGAAAATGGCTTGAATGTTTTGTTTTATCATTAAAAAAATAAAGAAGGCTTGCACTTCTCAGGCTCACACTGCAGAACCATTAGGCATGCTTGGCTTTGTGCGGGGGTGGGGTTAATCCTATCTTTTCCCTGATGCTGAAGTACGGAAAACACCTACTTTCTTTCCCAAAAGATACCTACTTTTGACACTAGCACTCACTCATATGCACTTTTCTTTTGGCATTTGACTAGAATAAATAAAAGTACCTTATTATCCCACATGTCGAGCAGTATAATAGTTGCACTTTCCCCATCCACCATCAGGGTTCTTTCATACGTGTCTTCTGGAAAGAAAAGCAGAAATGTTTGAAATATATTTTTTGTGGCATCATGTACATTGCAAAAACCCAAGTAGTTAAACATGTATAATTTGTTCACAGTTCCAGTTATTGAGCCAAATTTTATGTTGGCTCGCAGTTCCTTCCTCATTTCCATCAGCACTGAACCTGCCCTCTGTTCATTACTGGTTGTCTTACTTTCCATGATATATGAAGGAGGCTGAAAGATCAGGAAATGAAATGTTCATTATTTTGGCTGATATTCTCTTTATCTTATGTGGGAGAGAGAAAATAGAACCAGTGGAAGAAATAACCAAAGGCTGAACATGTGCCCCGTGGGAGCAGCAGAGTCCAGCAAGGCTGAGTAATGGAAAATATTTGCTTTTGCTTTAGCAGGGACAGTTTACGGGTGAACAGTCACTGCTGCTGAAAGCAATACAGCCAACAGCCTACCAAGCAATGAGGACAGGGTTTTGTGAGACAAGAGCTGTTGAGTTTCAGAGAGGCTGAGACTTCTGCTGCGTCCTAGTTCTCTCCCATTTCATGGTTTCCCACATTACCTTTGATGTCAAAAAGCAAAGGCATCAACAAACCACAGAAGTTCAGTTATTTTGTACTGAGGCCACAAAAATTCATACCTAGATTATAAATGCCATGTGACAAAGTTCTGCTTAGATCTGGGGGGGCAGATCTTCCCACTCATAATTTCGATCAACCCTTACTGTGAAATCTCAGTCTAGCTTCTGCTTCAAATACTGATCTTCCTTCTTTCCCCCAAACCTGGGGACATTTGGATGAGCAATACGGGGTTTGGACCCATCTCTAGTCTTGCTTTGATAGTCAGTGAAAAATGCCAGGCTTTGGGCTTCTGAGCAAACCACGCCTCTCACTGCAGTGTTTAAGGGGTCTGTCCCAACCATGCTTGTAGATAGAACTATGCCTTAACACTTGCCTCGTAAAACTTCTGCTGGGCATTAATGGACTGAACTTTCCCCTAAATCATGATCAGAGCCCTTCCTCAAAGCCAGGAATCTACATCCATGCAAAAGAATGAGCCAAAAATATTACAAATTTTAACTAAAATCAAAAAGAGCCCAGGCTTGACACAGCTTAAAATGGAGAGATTAAAAACACAAAGCTGATCAAGAGGCACAGTTTCCCTTGTAGGCCGAATAGGATGACACTTGTGTTCGTGAGTTAGATTGATCTTACAGTCAGTTGCAAAGCCAGTCCATAAAAGTAGCTGCATTCCCTCTGTGAGGTGGCTACCCTGAAACCATCCCCTCTTGTAACAGTATTTCCAGTTCACAAGCTAAAGTTTGGAGAATAGTTTCTTCAACTGATTGAGCATCTGCATGGGAACAAGCTCCATATATATCAGAAGACAACATCCAGAGGACTCCTTCTCCACTCTGTTACACACGGAGAGGCTACAAATACATAATCACACTCCTTGAAAATATTATGCCCAAATGGTCATATTCAACACTGATTTGCACCTTGGTCAATCCTAAGGGACTTCCATAGGACATAAAACACACTGAAAGTGAGCAATGAGTTCATCTCATGCTTATTTCGAAGCTGACGCTAAAAGGGGAGAGAAATAGAAACAATAGAAAGTTTTCTGATACCTCAGAAGAGCTGGCCTTGGCTACCCTACAAGCAATATTGCTGGGAGTGTGAAGAAAAGAAGAAACCATAGAGCTTTGCATGGAGGAGAAGGAAACCGTCTGACAAGGGTGTGCAAAGTAAATCAGCTGCCTTTTCTGACTGCTTGCCCCAGGGTCCTACTCTAGTTTGCTGGTGTAGCACTAGGAAACCTTTTAGCAGAATTACTCTAAGCTGAGGAGCTCGTGGGATTACAGGAAAAGTCAGCGGGACAAGCTGAAGGCAAAGCACACCTGAATAACTGATTCAGAGTGACTGCACCACGGGGAACTTCAGACCCCGAAGGCACAAAGATCTGTGCCCCCAGTCTGGGAGACCAAGCAAGGAAAACGTGGGTCCAACCTTCCTGATGCTGGGCTGTATGAAATCCTGGGTAAAGCCTCTCCTAACTGGAGAGGTAAAGACACAAAAAGCTGTCCTGCCTGTGCTTCAGTGAGGACTGGAAGAGAAGCCCAGAAACTCTCTGTGCTAGCACTGGCACCATCGCACCCAGGGAGTACAGGCAGGAGAGGGAAGGGATATGTGAGAGACGAGGAGAGTCCTGCATACTGGCGAGTAAAACCAGCCGGCAACCTGCATGTCCTCCCAAGGTGACAGCGTCTGCCTCCTTACAGCCACAGCAGATTTCTGCTGCAGTACAACCCTTCCACATCAACATCTCACACACAACATAGCTCAGGGCTTAGTGCCACAGCTTCACCTTCTGCATGATCTGATCTTTGGGATTAAAGGACGTTTCACAACCCTAACTAAAGCAGGAGACATTAGCGAGGGGGAAGGGTCAAAGAAAGCCCTACGGTGCTTTTTTTCCCCCGTTTGGGCAATGGGAATTTTCCTACACTGGTGAAGGACCTTTGTCTTTTTAACCCTGGGGGAACCCATGCTGGGCAAGTAACATAAAATGAGGAGGAGATATCTTTTACTCAAATTCCATACAGCCTACGCTGAGGTAATGTGTTTATACAGAAAGGCTGAGATGACTTCTAATGGCAAATATTTTGGAGGTGATTGAAGGACTCAGCTTATTATTTCTTAGCATTTCATTCTTGTAGACCACAAGGACCTTCAGTTGTTTTCTCTCCCCCACAGAAAGCTGGAGTCAGCCCTACGGAGCCAGTGGTGACTGAAATGTTGGACCAGCATGAAAGCTGAACCAGCCTCCTGTGTAGCATCATCACAGGCAAGAATGAGGCAGCTTCCAGCAGGTATTTTGAAATGAAATAGCATGAGAATCTGAATTGTCCTTTTTCAGAGGCTTTTCATCATTGTAAGTATCTTACTCATCTTATTTTGCTTTCTTGTTTTCTTAAGACAGATGCATGTGTTGAATCAGTTTTGATGATCAAATCCAAATGTTTGTTACCTCAATTTTTGATTAAATGGGCTCTCTGATTTTCTGTGCCAATTACTACTGTCAGGGCTGATTGCAAGCAAACACAAACACCCCAGGGCATAACGACCTACCTCCCAGCACCTCACAGTCGCTGTCGATGCTGTCGTGCACTCCCGCAAAGATGTTGGCTAGCGAGGACTTGCCTACACTCTGCTCCCCGATCAGGACCACCCGGTAGCAATTGCTGCCAGACTCAGAGGAGATGACAGAGTCAGACGACTCCGAGGACCAGCTCCTTCTGTAGTATTCATCGGGACTGATGGTGTATCGCTTCTGCGGGTTGTACTCATTGGAGTCTTTCTGGACCAGAAGATTCTTTCCATCAGCAGGGATGCTCCATCGCTGCTGCTGCTGCTGCAGGCTGTTGTTGTGGGTGCGACGCATGGTAACGTTGTTGAGGGTCATTTTTTACCCCTAATGAGAAATAGGGAAATCACAAACGTTACCCACAAAACATTTAGAAACGCATTAACACCTCTTATTAACTTCAAGGCAGCATGTCCTGCTCTTCTATAGGGTTCTAGCATACAACAAAATAAAAATGAGACTTTCTGCACTCTTTCGTAGTTGCTGGTACACAAAAAAATATTTCTAGTTAGTGAGTCAGAGCCTTTTTCTTAGGGATGATACCACCTTCACATGCGAAATCCTATCTTTGTTTAGCCTTCACAAGCTCACGGCTGTGCTAGGTGCAGCCCAGCCCTGGAGAGAGTGAGGCATTGCTGCGTCCCAGGAGGAGAAGGAAGGGGCAGCATTCACCACAGCTGTCCTACATGGGAGCTGCATCCCTGCTGAGAGGCAGCCTGTGGTACAGGCAGCACCTACAGGTACTGCTGCCCATCCTTTGCGCTTAACTGGGGGCAAACAGAGGCACCGGTCCCAGTTGCCTCCAACTCCCAGTGCAGCTGGGCGTACAGCATCTTTCACATTGTCTCAGTTAAGAGCTGAAACTTTTGGGAAAGCAATAAGGCATCACTGGCTGCATGCTTAGACAATCCTGATATGAGAAAAGAGGCATGCAAGCAAGTCTTGCTATGATGGGGTGAATTTGGGTCTCCTCTACGGCCGGGTAAACAAAGAATGACTCTGCTTCAGACAGTGGCTTTTTGGCCGGTAAAAGGGAGGACACAGTCAAGACCAACAGCTTTTCTGAGGAGGTACAGGTTCTAGCCGCTACAGGAGGTAGCGCTGGGAGAAAAAGCTCCTAAATTTACAGATACTAAATCAACAACTTCATTTACTGCACAATCAGCTAGATGGGTTAGCTCTTCTTATTTAAGCATGGCTCTTAATTACATTTTACTCAGCAAACTCTATTTTGCCGTGCTTGGAGGCAGAGGACAGTGATGTCATTCTCACGGGCCAACAGCTACCATTTTTAGGAAAGTTACTTTGATGCGTTCCAGTTCCCAAAGTGACAGTTATTTAGACACTTTGCTTTTTGCCATATATCTGATGTTTCTCAGCCCTCTTCTCTGCATTAGTAATTAGGGTAACTGTCCATAAAATGCACCCAACCACTTTCAAACCTGAGTAATAGGTGGTGAACAAAAAAAGTACAGAATCACATCAAAGCAACACATACAAATTGCTATTCCTCTTCACACAAAACTGCCTGAAAACTTCTTAGGATAAATACACAGCAAGACATAGAACAAATATACAGAAAAAGCACACTCTATCTGAACTTATTACCGCATACGCAATATTTTCTCTCTGATGCACAGTACTTAGTGGCAAAATGAGATCGTTTGCCTCATCTTAGTCACAGTGACTTTTGTCAGCAAGAAATACATCTAACCCAAAATCATGCACCAAGCAAAGACTGCTTTACAAACAAAATGAAATATTTACCGCGGTTGAATTTTAAAATGCATTTTTTCCTTGCCGAAAAGACCAGATGAGAAAAGCCAGCTACCATTCAGTCAAACAACAGAGCCTAACTCACAACTTGCAATAAACAGTCACACACTAAACAGTCGCAAACATGAACATTTTACGATTTCGCCCCTAACAAATCATCATCCTTCATTAAGCAAAGCCAAACGAGTCCCTGTCGCACACTGCGTTCCAAGTTCAAACTCATTTTGACAGCCCACACTGCATTTAGCTGCCTGGGTCTCTAGCATCGACAGTAAAAGACTGCGTCCGAACCAGTGCTGCCTTACTTCTGCCCGGCTCCTCCAGGCAGCCGGCTCCTTTGCTCGCGCTGCCCTTCTCTCTCGGTGGGGTGCGGTACGCTGAGCTGCTCGGCCGAAGTAAATCCTCTCCTGCTTTGGGGCTGCCTCTTTAATTCTTTCTCAGCAAACCTGGTTTATATTAAGCCCATCTGATCAGAGACAGGGCTTTTCCGTGACGTGGCTGGCCTTTCCATACAACAGCCAGCCCCCAGCTGGGAGGAAACAGACAGGCAGAAGAGCAAAAACTTGCAAACAATCTCAAAAGACTTACTCAAAATCATATGATTGTCTTAATATTGCCAGTAAAATAAACACATTTGGTACTTGCATGATGAAAACAGCAAAGTGGAAAAAACCAAAATAATACGTCGTTTCGCCTCACTCAGTTTTTCATTCAAACATTATCAAAATTAATGATGTTTAAAAAATGACATGAGCTTCATTAATACAGAAAATGCTGTAAATGTATTATGTTCTCTGCCTGCAAAATGCACTTAATCCCCTGCTAGGCAATAACATTTCTTTGGAATAAAATATCTGAATGTTATTTTGGAATTATCCTGAAAATAGGAATACTACTCTGTTTTTAAAAAAAGTTAAAACCTAGTATATACAATCCTATTTTTCGCTGTCAGCCTCCAATGACTGCACCCAGTTTCCTGAACTGCATAATCAGCTCTCACTTCTGCTTCAACCTTTTACTAACAGGGGCTTGAAAAAACATCCAACTACAAATTCAGCATTACTCCAGCTGGTTCGTGGCAAAGATGCATCAGAGCACAAAAAGTCTGCACAAAGTCAGAGTAACACAGTACTGATTCCGTCCGCAGCCCATTAGGAAAGATGAATATATAGTGTACCTGCCACAAACCCAGAGCCTGCTCCTTAAATTTTTATAATCTCATAACTCATTGGCAGAAGAAATTTTGCCACAGAACTACTCAGTAGGGGTACCACAAGTTATATAAAAGCATATGGAAACTCTGTAGTCAGCCTTCAATTATCCAGATTCTGGATTAACTATGATGAGCTCAAAATCAAGCTCCTACAGCTTTTCTTTATATTTACAATCATCTCCTAGTTACTTTATCAGCCCCTGAAACCAGAAGGTGGCTAATTCTTATCCTGTATGTAGGAAGTCTGAACAACTTCGCTGCTGAGCAGGGGCAAGAATATAGTTTTTCATGTGCCCATTTTGAGAAAATTACGGGCAAGCAAGCCTTTAACTGACAACAAACCTTTAGTAAAGGGAGTGGCGATATGCAGAAAAGAATATCTGTTGCTATGATAGCAGCCTAGCACTTATTTTACATTCCTCCACTGTAAAATTGACTGTTTGTCCCCTGAAAAAAAACAGAACTTTACAAAATTCTTCAGTTGAAATCTGCTTACTTTTTTTTTCCCTTTTGGCTTTATTGCATTCCTGTGTCTTTCGTGAAGATTTTCAGGGCCTTTCTGAGCCCATTCTCAAGTTTAAAGAGCCAAGAGCATTTCCCAAAGTAATACGGTCTCATCAGTTTACATGGAAATTATTCAGATCTACCAAGGGGAGAATTGGACAAAAATATGTCCTGATTTTCCTTCACCTGCATTTCACTGCTTGGCAGCAGCTGAACTGGCCCCAAGGCCTGCATCTCCAGCTCACCTGTCCCTTACACAGCAGGCTCCGAGCCTCTGCTGCTGCGTGATAATCCCAAAGAGCACAAAGTCCCTCTGTACAGTCCCTCTGCGTAGGCTGTACAGAGCGGCTGTTAATACTCACGGTACAAAATGCAACAACAGCTCTGGCGGGGAAGGTTTATGGCATGGCCAGCGGTTTGCGAGAAGACTTTTGCTGTCGGCACACTCAGCGCCACTTCTGAAGTTGCTCATTTTTTTGAAATGTGCTAGAAATCACGAAGGTGAGTGAGTGGCTGGAGAGCTGTGCTCTGCACCTTGGGTTCACTTTACTCTCTTTAAGTGGTCTGTAATTTGTCACCAAGAGTGAAAAAACAGAACCTGTCCACTGCAGGACTGGAGAGATTTATGGCCAGATTGATCTCAGCAGAACCGCAGGCTCTAACGTCTCACCCACATGTTTAACTTATATCATAGTAGAAAGCACAGACAGCAGAAATAAACCAAAGTCAGGAAAACCTTTATGTTTAGTTATGGTTAGTGTTAGATCAGGAATTGCTAGACATCATCTTCCATGTCCTCTTCATAAAATTCAAGGTAGCCAAAGACAACACAGCTCTTTATCGACCACACAATACATCTCTTCTATAAAGCCATCCATAAGCGTTGTCCCAACCGTGGCATGAAGCACTTACACTTGGGAAACTTGCACGTGTGTTTTCCTTTGTACTGCCTTTTCTGAGCCTATTCTGGTTTTCCAGCTGGACAATTAACTCTCCAGATCCCGTTCTGTACTACCGTCTGCCTCGACGTGATGAAGAGCTCACGTTCTCCAGGAATGCTATCAGCACTCATGAATTTCAATTGGTATATCTGTGGGGAAAACTTTCTTTTTTTTTTTTTTAAGCTGGGGAGAGGTGCAGCATTTTCAGCCTCCTGATACTTACTTACAAGGGAAAACAACATGGAACATATGAACTGAGACCTTCTCAATAGGGCTGACTATCGGCTTGGATTTCCAAATATAATCCCATAGACTGATGGAGGCTGATGCCGTCCTGGACTGCTCAGCACTGTCGCACTCTTCACTGGTCAACATTGCTGCAATTCAAACTGCCTGAGACACAGGCACAAGATGGGACAAACCATAAGACCAGGTGCTGTTGTAACACACAGAAGTGCTCAGATGTTACTGCCTGGTGCAGTATTAAAACTCTGAGCGATTGCTTTTCACCTGTCTTATCCATTCTCTGCTTCAATAATCACGTCTTAAAGGAATGCTGCTTGCAGCCAGGATGAAGTAAACGTCGCAGAGTAACAGCTCTGCAATCCTTCTCCAGCCAGTTACAATTAGACCAGGTGATGCCCCAAGCAATTAGGCAGAATTTTTCCATTGGATATAAAACAGCAGTACTTTTTAGCTGACACTTAAGTAGCCTTTTTGTATTTATGTATATGAAGGCAAAAGTAGTTCCTCAAATCACCTTCTGGCATGGGGGTTGTGCATAGAGAGGCCCTTAATCAACTTGGAGGAGGAGGGAAATGCAAGGGGGAAAAAACTCAAAAAAAACAGGAAAAACAAAATTCGGATTTATTTTAACAGAAATTGAA